AAATCATAAAGGAAGAAGTGAAATTATCTCTGTTTGCAGATGACATGATCTTATATAGAGAAAACCCTAAAGATTCCCCCAAAAAACTTTTAGAACTAATAAAGGAATTCAGTAAAGTTGCAGGATATGAAATCTGCATCAATGAATGAAGGGATGAAGAAAATGTGGTAAATAATACAATGGATATATATACACACTATACAATGGAATATTATTCGGCCATGAGAAAGAAGGAAATCCTGCCATTTCAGACAACATGGATGGACCTTGAGGGCATTATGCCACGTGAAATGTCAGGCAGAGAAAGACAAACACTGTATGATCTCTCTTATATGTGGAATCTAAAAAAGCCGAACTCAGAACAGACAGCAGAGCGCTGGTTGCCAGAGGCGGGGGGTGGAGGGTGGACAAAATGGGTGAAGGGGGTCAAAAGGTACAAACTTCCAGTTATAAAATAAGTAAGTCCTGGGGATGTCATGTACAGCACGGTGACTGGAATTAATAATATTTGAAAGTTGCTGGGAGAGTAGATCTTGAATGTTCTCATCACAAGAAAAACAATTCTGTAACTCTGTGTGGTGATGGATGTTAACTAGATGCATTGGGCGATCATTTAGCAATATATACAAATATCAGACCATTCTGTTGCACACCTAAAACTGCTATAATGTCGTAAGTCAATTATACCTCAATAAAAAAATAAATAAAATTTTTAAAAAAGAAAGTAGAGAATCGGCCACTGACACGAGCTGAGCACCACCTCAGCCTCCCCTCAGCCCAGCACTCACACCCAAACTCCCTGAACACGGTGAAGAAATATTTCAGAGGCCTATTTGAGCCCAGGACAACAGTGACCTCCATGTGTGGACTCCAAGGTCTGAGGAGCCTCTGCAGGACAGACGACAAAGAAGACGCCCTGAAAGGTGGGGCTGCAACCTGGGGCTCTGCCCGGAGGAGGCGGGGACCAGGAGGGCAACAGGGGGAGTCTGCCATGGAGCAGCCTGCCAGTGGCCCCTCGCCCCTGCCCCACCCACAGCACTCAGGCCTCGCAGATGAAGAGAGAGGGACAGCCCCGCACTCAGCCTGGCCTGCACCCCGCCTCCCCCAGCATCGCAGAGGGAGTGAGCAGGATCCACGGCCCGCGGGCTGACTGAGGTCTCCAAGACGCACCCAAACGCCTGGGACCCGGCTGACGCTTTTTCACAGAATGACCGCAGCAGTGATGACGACTCAGGCTGTGATAACGGTCTGCGGGCAGGAGTTCCCGCTCCATCGTTGTCACCGTGGGGCTCGAGGGGGATGCTCTCCTGACTCTCACCAAAGTCCACTTCACATCAACCAAGGGGAACGTGACTGAGATGAACTCAAAGTGCAGGAAGCGAGAAAACACCATAAATGAATGAAATACTTCCCCCGTACATTCAGAATTTTCAGCCCCCCTTCTAAGAGAAAGAAGAGAAAAAGTAAAGATGCATATGAAAAACCGTTCAATCTCAGTAATGATCAAAGAAATGCAAATTATGACAGTTTCACCCATATTAAATTGGTAATAAAAATACTAATAACACTCTTTGCTGGTAAAATTTTTGAAAAACAAGAATATCAATAAGTTATCATTGGCAGTGGGAATTGACCCAGTAACCATTTTGGCAAGTAATTTGGCAAAATGTTTCGAGAGTCATGGAATTATTTACCCTTTCTGATGCAGAAACCCAGTTTTGAAATTTTAACCTTGAAAATAATCAATGTAAGAAAAAAAGCCATAAGCAGAAAGATATCAAAGACATCAATATCTATTGATTGATCAACCTGGTAGAGACAGAGAGAGAGAGAGAGAGAGACATAGATGGTAGATAGATGATAGAGATGAAAATAATAATAAGAATAAAAAGTTTTCACATATTTAGGTATATGGGGAAGCAATTCTGGTTTAAATTTGATTTGGCCTGAAACTTGTTTTTCCCCGAGCAGCCTGACTTATGGCCCACAGAACATGCATTGTACGTCTGCTTCAAATGTTTTCCCAAAGCAAAGAGTGCACTCTTTAAAGATGGGGATGAATGGCTCTCTTTTTCTGATGCTGATACCAGTGCCTCTTTGAAGATAAGCTTTTCTTCCCAGAGGACCAAGGTCAAGTTGCCTGCTGTGTATGTGCTAAACTGCAGCAAAACATCTCCTTGTGACTGTGGGAAAAAAATTGTATTTCTGTCATGCTTGACGTATGTTCTTTGTTCTGAACTCGTATATAAACCTGCTGTAACCACACTTCTCCTGAGTGCTGTCTTCCCTGGGGAAAAGAGCACTTCCGGACTAGTCCTCAGCACTGGCTTATTAAATATCTTTCTTATCTACAGATTGGGTATTATTTGTATCAACAACAGTATGGATATACAATATATTAAAATGCAATATAATATGTATATCAATAAAATATATGTTACATATGCTGTATGTAACACAGAAGCATAGAAATCATCTAATTGTAAAATAGTGCAAGGTTTCTATAAAATATAATATGTAACTGAATGTTTTATGTATATATAATTACAATTATGAGCAATGTATGTAACATGGAAAATGGCTTAGGAGAACACATCAAGTTTAAGAGCAGGTGGCTGTGTGGCAGGTGTGAGGTAGGACCCCGTGGATTATGTCCGCCTGTGCACAGGACGCAGGCGCAAATGGACAAATACAGCTGGGGGACGGTGTGTGAGCGAATGTCCCTCCACCTCCTGGGAACAAGCTCCAGCGTAGACACAGGGCCACACAAATCCTCTGCCTGTCCTTCCTCCCTTCCTCCCCAGGCTGGTTCGTGTCCCCCGCAGCCCCAGAAGGAGACTCCTACAAAGACCGCGCTCATCCGTCACAGCGTCCCCAGGCTGGAACGTGCTGGGAACAGAGCAGGCGTGAGTACCTGTCCGTCGAGGGAATCCAGCCTGTGATTTTACCTGCGTGTGTGTCTCTTTAGGTTTTTGTCAGGAGACTCGCAGTCCTGCTCATCTCCCACAAGCAGAAGACTGTAAAGACCACACTTTATTTTAAGAACATTAAGATTTTATTTCATAAAAATCACAACATATTTTCACTACTTAGTGGCATTCATCATCTCTCCTGTGCTGTAAACTACTTTAAACACACGATTCTTTCCAATTTCTTATTTTTGGCCAATTCTGTGTAGATAATTAAGTACTGCAGAAGCCAAAATGTACAGCCTATAAATAAAGTGCGCTACTGTCATTCACGAGAAATACAAAGTCCGTTCCTCACCTCCTTTGATATATTAGCTATTAGAGTGAATATGCTGGGAGTTAAAAACAAAGAATTCCATCTAAAATAAAGACAGTTCCCTCCCTGATTTGCTTCACAAGAAACTAAATAAGAAAAACATCCAAGTGTAACTCTTAGGAATACAGTGTTCTCAATTCTAGGTGCTCGCAGGCAGGACAAGGGTCTGCTGCTGTGTGACGGGTGGTCTGGTTTCTGGGATCACAAGGACAAGCCTGGGCAGGCCAGGCACGAGCGCGCTGTCCACCACGCGGGGTCTGGGCAGTGGTCTCCGCCTGCATCAGCCAGTTTACCCCACAGCACATCCAGGGGCCGCACAGCAGGCAAACGGCCTCGGCCTCGTCACGCGTGCTGAATCAGCTGGTGCACTTGGGACCTGGCCTAGATGGAGGAACAAGCCCCCGGGCATACTGCTCGGCTGACCCCTCCCCGCAGCGGGAGTCGCTGGCGACGACCATTCTACTCATCGCCACGGGGGTGGGGAGTTACATTAAGAAGGTACCAGATGAAGAAGGAAAAGGCCCACAGAGCTATGCAAAAACCTCACTGAAACAAAGCAGATGCGTGGGGGCGGGGAAGGGGCTTAATGCTGTCATGGTCACAGTGTTAACGGGAGATTTTCCAGTATCAAAAGCAGGTTTGAACTGACCCACACATCTCACAACATCACATCACAGTATGGTCTCTCATGGCCTGTCTCCCAGCATCTCCACGGCGTTGGCTCACATCTCTGATCACAAACCTGCTGTTCCACAGGATCCTGCCTCACGTGGAGCTGAAGCAGTGATTCCATTTCCCAAGGGCTCAGTCCAAGTCCACCAAGTAACAACAGCTCAGAAGACTCGGCCACTGTCACCCCTCCCCGTCAGGCAGGACGTGAGGCCCATGAGACCTCCCTCAAAGCTGTCGGCCACGCAGGAAGCAGGCAGCCTCTATTCCGCGTGATCAGAGGCGTGGGCCTCCTGTGCGGCGACATGAACCGCTGGCGCCCACCACTGTGATCCGCTTGTTAGGAACCCAGAGGAGCGCGGAGAAGTGATGAGGACAGACTCTAGGCGAAGTCAGGCCTTGGGAAACAGAGAGGTCTAGACAGGGAAACCTGCTGCAGGGCGGCAGGCAGTCAGCTCTGGGGGCCACCGGGAACACGGACGGAGGCTCAGGTGCCAGAAAGGGGATGTCTGAAGGCCGACTCAGCCTGAAGAGTCAACACTGAGGACCGGGCCGCGAGGCTTTCCCAAGCAGTGGCCTCGAAGCCCGGTTGCTGCGCGTGGTGCCCACTTGGCTCTTCTCCTGGGCGAGGCATCCAGCACAACAGGGCCCGAGCAGCAGCGTCTGTAGCCCAAAGCCCTCGGCATTGGCGGAGGCCCCAGCAGAGACCACACAGCAGACCGCGGGGTAAGCCGCGTGGCGTCACCCTGCCCAGAGTTCTGCACCGGGGCTGGTGCCTGGCTGCGGGGGTTTGTTGTTGGGTAAATTCAGCAGGCTGAAAACATGCCCCAGCTCTTCCCCACAGGCCCCCATCTGCCTCCACTTGAACCTCTGGGGTGGGCGGGGACCCTGACTCCCCCACAGGGCCCCCCTCTTTGGTGCCGAGTCCCCATCACGGTGCAGAGGCTAAGCTTCCCCTCCTGATGCTGCAGCTCTGAGTCCCGTGTGCCCAGGGTGTGGCGGGTCCGAGGCTCTGTGCACCTGCAGGATGAGGGGGAAGCTCACAGGGGCTGCTGTGTGTTCAGGGTGCCCGGAGGGCAGGCCCTCAGCCCACAGGAGGACCCAAGCCAGGAGGGTCACCCACGGCTGTGTGTCAGGCTGTGGGCTGAGCAGTGGGCTCTGTCACACAGAGAGGGTCACAGGTGAGGACACCGTCACAGGGGCCGAGACCCTCACGTCCGGACAGCCACGAGGACAGGGTCCCACTGGTGAAGGTAGACTGCTCTTGTGTTTTGTGTGCGGGGTGGGGGTGATCCGAGGGCAGGCCGATGGCTCTCTGCTCACACGGCGGACAGGTCCACGCGGTGGGCGGAGTGGCTGCTCCTGTCCCACGGGCTGAGCTTGGAGGAGGCCGTGCCGGGCCGGGTCCCGTTCATCTGCAACCACAGAGGGGTGAGGCGTGAGGTCCCTGCTCCGAGATCAGAGATCCAAACCCCACGTGGGTGCGGAAGCCTGGGGCCAGAAAGCTGCCCGAGGACCCTCCCCCAAGAAACAAGGATCCCGGACTTCAGAGGGGCGCTGCTCTCCCCTGCTCTGCGCTGGGCTCCCTCCCTCATCGCTTCTAGCTTCTGTGCACTCCCTCATTCATCCATCTACCCTTCTATTCATGCATCCTTCTATTCATCCATCCACTCATTCACTCGTTCACCTCCCTCTGTTCATTCACACGTTCCCTCCACGTCTGTCACTGAGCACGCAGTGCATGGGGTATCGTGTTGGCTGTGGGTCAGGCAGTGAAGAAAGCCAACAGCTCCGTGTCCCCATGCCCCTCTTGTCCCCGCCATGTAAATGGCGTTTACATCCCGGGGGGCGGCAGACAGAGGCCACTGCAGAGAGTGGCAGGAGTATGACCCTGAAGTGGCGGGAGCACCTTTATTTGGGGCCCTCCAGGAAGGACTTCCTAAGGACACAACAGCTGTGTGAGGACCTAACTGACAGGCAGGAGACAGCGGCGCAGGGAGGGCAGAGGTGCCGTCTGCGCCAGGCTGCTGGGGGCCCTGCCTGGGGCCTCGAGGACAGGCTGATGATGGAGCACGCCCTGCAGGAGGAGGGGAACCGAGCCGGCACTACGAGGAGAGGCCTGTTTAGACCCCAGGCATCGAGCGTGGAGCATGGAGCCCCGATTTCTCAGGCGTCCACAGTGGGAGACCCAACACAGAGGACAAGCTCCCAGAAGGCAGGGCTGGGCCACGACTTTGTGCCTTGACGGGACACATCAGCAGGTCCAGTGTCCACTGATCTGTACGTCCTTCCATGTCCCTGAGTCAACACAGAGGTGCTGCCCCTGGAAACGGGGCGGGAGAGAGTGTTGTGGCGATTTTATCGGGACAGAGGACCCTGCTGCCCCTGCACAGCCTGCAGCCTCTGTCAGGCGTGAAAGGGCCAGACAGGAACAGCCAGCACGCAGCCTCGCCTCCCCCGCCCCGAGCTGGGCAGCTGCTTGCACAGCCCTGAGCCTGCAGAGGCTGGAGCTCGCGGAGGCAGGAGAGGAGGGGCTGAGACTCTGGATTTGAAACTGGGCCTCAGCACCGCGTCCTTGGTGAGGCAGAGCCTGCGCAGCTCAGCGAAGCTGGGAAGCAACTCCACGGCGGGGCTCACAAGGCCTGGCTTTCCCGCAACAACCAATAGAGAACCAGCCCTTGGGCCAAGGATGCAAGGCACTGAGAACAGGATCAGCCCACGCAGGGACGGGATCTAGACAGGACAGCCACAGCACTCACGACTTCAGAGCTGAAGGGCTTCACGGTGGCGTTGCGGGCAGAGCTGCTTGAGAGGGACCAGACCTTGGTCTTGTGCTTGAAGGCAGCCCTCACCTGCGGAAGAGGAACAGAGGGATAATCAGAAGCAATTTCAGAGGCTGACGTGGCAACAATCAGAGGTCACTCTACAAGGTTGCTAGGAATCTGTGCTGACAGAGGCCCCACAACACCGGATGCAGGGCAAGGACGAGATTTGGAAACACCAGATTCCAACAGTCACTGACTCATTTGGCAGACAGATTGTGTCTCCACCACCAGCCCAGGCCCTGCCCGGGGAGAAAGGTGGATCTGGATGGTCTGATGGCCTCCTCACAGTTCTGCAGGGGAGACGGGACACACTCGGCAGTGAACGGTGTGGAGGGCAGAGCATGTGCCGTGCAGCAGAAACAATACGGAGGAGCAAATCAACTAATGCACACGTGGGCAGGCCATGCGCGGTGCTGAGGGCGGTCCCCTATCCGCCACATGCGTCACAGTCTGAGGCCCTGCCTGGGCTGCTCTGGGGTCTTTGCCAGCATGTGATCCCCCCTCCACTGGCCACCCCTACCTCCTCCCTCCTTGCCTGCCTCTCCGTGTGCAAAGGGACTGCTCTACTAAAGAGCAGATGGTGCTTCTGCCCGTCCCCATTCCCCATTCCAGAGGCCCTTCCCCATGACCACAGCCTGGTGGGGCTTGAATGCCAAGCCTGCAATTTAGGTGAACCTCCTCCCACAGGACTGTGGGTTCTGAGGGGCAGGGCTGTATCTGGAGCAGCCTCCACCCTCCCCGTGGCTGAGCACACAGCAGATAACGCCCCAGGCTGCCCCAGCTGCCCCAGTGCCCTGGGAGGCCAAATTACAAAAGACCCCTCTCCAACCTCCTCCTTACACCACAGGACAGCTTCCCAAAGGTCTTCGGGGGGACTGTTGGGAGCACACCCACATCTCACTCTCCCTAACATGCCAGACACCAGCAAGGTCCTGATCTCTGCCTCTCCTTGTCCCCCACACAGACAGCAGTGCCCGTGTGACATCAGAGAGGGAGGATGCTGGGAGGTTGCTTAGCAACCTGGATGAGAGAGAAGGGCTAAGGGAGAGCAGCCCTGCTGTGCACAGCTTGTCACCACGGCTTGTTCAGGGTGACATTCCCAACACCAGCCTGACAGGGTAGCACTGCTCCTGTCTCTGTGCCCCTTCAGAAACGGAAAACCAGCTTTGTGTTGCCAGGGAGGAGAGCAGACGTACCTCGGAATTCAGGAGACAATGAAAGAGGAAGATGAAAAATCCCTGGGAAGGAAGGGGAGAAAAACACAGAATTAGAGCCACCTGTGTCTCGTTACAAACACTTTCTGATGGTTCTTTCCAGTGCCACACATGGGATCTGAGAGTGGACTGGTGTGGCTCATTGCTGGGGAGCGTGGGAGTGAGCTGAGGGTGAGGATGGGGGCTTCCTGCACCCAACCCCGTCATCTAACTACACGTAGGCAGCCTCTATGCCCAGGGTTCAGAGGGGCTGTGCTGCCCGGGCAAAGACACAAGGACAGGTGGCTTCCCAGCAGACTAATCTGGGAAAGGAGCAGAATGCTGGGGACACACAGAGGTGATGACATTAGACTGTCACCTAACCTGGGTGTCCTCATCTGCAGACTGAGAATGATGATAACAATAACAGACACAAGAACGAGGATGTCACCAAACATCCAGAGACAGCTACCACGTGTCAGGCACTAGGCAAACCTCACGTGAGCTATCCCATTTAGTGCTAAAAGCCGCCTCGTGTAGTGGGGCCTGTGACTGCTCCCACTTTATGGAGGAGGCCACTGGGACACAAAGAGGATAAAGGAGGAGCCCCAGGACCTGGAGCCAGGACAACTACCACGTTTCATGATAAACCACCAGAGGGAAACTAAGCATGGAAGCTTATTACAAACTAGAAGCCTGACCACCATCCTAAGACGTGGTCATCGGTCACGAAAACACAGAGGCAGCAAGGACAGCACAGCAGGGCTGGGCGGGCCGCGGTGACATTCGCCAGGATTCAGCCTTAGGTTCGGCTATGCGGGGTGTGTACAGTGATGGGCACCCAGCTCTGCCCTCCCTTTGGGGGCTTGTGGGTCCGGGGACTCAGACTCTGGGCATCCCACATCTCTGATTTCCAGGCTGATGACCCTTCCCGGCCCCTCCATGCAGAGGACAGACACTAGCTCAGACCCCGAGGTGCCCCCAACACCACTCTCCACGCCTGGCTCCCTGTCAGGAACTGCCCACACACTGACCGTCTTCCCTCTCGGGCCCGGATGTCGCTCCTGCAGACACTGGCCTGGAGGACGAAGCAGCCCTGCAGTGGCCTGCGGGGTCACGATCCTGCAGGCCCTGTCTGCTCAGAGACCCTGGCGTGGCTCCACTGATGCCTCTGTCCTCCAGCCTTGGGGACGCCCCCACGCTATGGGCTCATAAGGTATGTGCAGGGAACATAGAGGAGGGTCTCCCTCTGGCCTTTGTGTGTCAACCTGCTCCTCTCACATCCACTCACAAAGCTCACAGCCAACTCGCGCACCCGACAGTCCCGGCGCTCACCTGTAAGGAGTTGAGGACGGCAAACATGTACTGGAAGACCACGGCCCGCCTGTTGACAGCAAGCACGCCAAAGACCCACGAGGTCCCCAAGATGGGCAGCAGCACGGCCACAGCTTTTGCTGTCAACCTGAAAGAGAAATGGGGACTCTGAGTAGCGGGCAAGCAAGGGTGGTCCAGAGGACCGGCCTCTGGACGCACGGCTTCTGATGGGAGGAGACATAGCCCCCGCTGGGAGGGATGGGCTCCTCCCTGCAGGTGACCTCGGGTGAGCAGCTGACCACATGGGACGAATCAGACGGTGCCCCTGCCAGGCTGGCTCTGGGCCCTGTCAATGGTGCTGCTTCTGCTCTGCTGCAGTTGGCATGTGGCACCAGGAGCCAGCACGCCCTCTGCACACACTCAGGCGGACCCCCGCATCCAGCCGGTGCTGATGCTGGATGGACACGCTGATCCCAGGTGCCCACAGAGGAGAGAGGAGCTGAGGAGCCCAATGGGGTGGGAGACACGCCCAGGGCAGGGACAGCCGCAGCATCAGCCTTGTGGGCTCACCCTGAACCCCGAGCTGCTCAGCACAGAAGAAATGACTAGATTGAAACCAAGAGACAAGGAGGAAAAGGAGCCGCAGAAGTTTCCTGAGGATGCTGTAACTGCTGTCCTCCTGTCGGCCTCCCAGAGCTCCCGGCTTGGTGTCACCAGCCCAGGGGGCGAGGGTTACACAAACGACACTAAGAGGAGAGTGAGGAGTGGCCCAGGGGTCAGGCTCGGCCACTTAAAGAGGAATTGCTGCAGGGCAGGGGTTGCTGGGCTCTGTAACCGTGTCAGGGTGTCTGTCCAGAGAGACGCGGCCTGCACTCGCCTGGGAGGACCACGTCCCTGCTGTCACGTGCAGGACACGGGAGGGCACCGAGGGCAGTGCCACCAGCTGTGGTTCTGCAGACTCGGAAATGCGCTCCCAGCGCACGGTCCCTACCTCGCCTGTCAGCCCTCCCCTCGGGGAGACGTTCCCCCGGAGAGAGGGACAAGGTGGTGGAGGAGCTGCTTCCTGGGCTGTGGGGAGCGAGGAGAGGGGGCAGGGGTGGGGACGGAGGGGGCGCAGGTGTGGGGTGAGCACCTGGCTGTTTGGGGTCCAGAGAGCAGTGGTCCCCGGTGCCTCGCTGAGAGGGGAGATGAGAGCTGGAGACAGACTGGCGGCCCTGAGCCAGGGTCAGGGGGCCTTGGGGAGCTGAGGGTGGACTGTGGGAGGGACAGGTCCTCCCTGGCCAGGCCACCGCGGGACGGGGACAGGCCACCCCACAGGACAGCGCTGCCTGTTCCCACTGGCGTAAGAGGAAAGGAAGTGATCCCTGACCCGGGAGCATCTCTTCTCCCCCAGGGCGCAGCCCTCCAAGGTTTCCAGAGGCTGAAAGAGCCCAAGAGCGACGGAGCCTCTTGTCAGTTTAATTTACAGTGTTTGGAATTCATTACAGAATAACTGTCTTATCCACCTGCTGCTGACGTATTCACTGTTCCCTTTCAGATCAGAAAAGATACAGTGTAACTAACGTAACTCATGGATAACAGCCTCAAATTCCCTGTGAGGGGCCAGCTCTCCCACTTCCTGGCCCTGTGGTTTGGGGGTACTGACTGTACCCCAGGGCCAGGGTGGACCGTGTGACTCAGGTCCAGGTTAACTGGTGACTTCCATTCCACTGTGACCGGTTCAGGGTGGACACATGGCCCAGCCTGAGTCTCGGCCTCCAGACTCAGGGCCTCTGTCTGAGCAGGTGGGACAGAGGTTCCTCCCCGCGTCACCAGGAGGCAGCGTCCACCTCAGCATGAAGCTGACACAGGACTCAGGGCTGAGAGATGCAAAGACGAACTGGATGCTGGTGATTTTGTCGTCAGATAGGGCCTAAACTTTTCAGTTACCGTGTCGATAAATCCCCCTTTTCTTCAGCCAGTGTGTGTCGGGTTTCCTGTCACTTGCACTCAGCAGAGCCCTGACTGATACGGGGTCAGGAAACCCCAGAGGACAGCATGTGTGAGGGTGGAACCCCTGCCCAGAGACACCTGCTCCTTCCCCAGAGGGACCAGCCCCAGAGCCGCCCGGAAGCTCTACCCTCCTCGGGATATTCCTGCAACGACGCCCCGTGAGCTGGTCCCACTGCCATCCCCACCTCACAGATGAGGAGAGCAAGGAATCAAGGGGTTAAATAATTCGCAAGGTCCTAGCAGATGGCAGGGGCTGAGCAGGACTGACATGGGTAGGGTGGTTGGGCTCTAGGATCTTCCTCTTCACCTCGCTGCATGCTGCCTCTCACCCTGGGGGTCAGCAGTCCCCAGATGACATCTAGTAGACCCCCCCTCCTGTATAAACGAGGACACCAAGGCTGGGAAAGGACAGGTCAGGTCACAGAGAGTGATTACGGAGTGGAGCGAGGACACGAGCCCAGGGATTCCCCAGGGAGATGGCGAGGACACCAGGGGAGCCCCTCCTGCTCCCCCGAGCGCCCTCTGCGGGCAGGGGCACTGCTGGCAGCCCCCGGGCCGGCTTACTTGAATGCACTGGGATCTCCATGGACCTTGTAGTTGTCGGCGCTGATCTGTGAAATGACCCTGGTCACGGCGACGAGGATGACGACGTTGACCTGCACAAGAAGAAGCAATGGAGGGAGGGAGGGGCTGGAGCTGCACCTGCAGGAAATCTGAGTCCACCTGGCTGCCGCCCGCTCCCTGCACGCCACCCGCAGGACTGCCCGCCGGGCGCTCACAGAACACACTGGCTCTCGTCCCAGGAGCACATCAAAGAGAGCCCGTGGGTGCGAACCGCATCTCAGCATCTGCTCACTGGGTGTGACCCTGCACAACTTACTTCAGCCTCTGAACCTCAGTTTCCCCATTTGATGAGAAAGAGCAATAATATCCACAGAGCAAACTGATCGTTGAAAGGACAAGAAATCATATCTGTGAAGCCCTAGCACACTGCAGGCTCTCACTTCCTGCCCTCACCCCAAGCTGACGGCCGTGAGGCCCGTGGAGGCCACAGCAGAGGGTTCTTCATCCTCTGCCCAATGCTCCCTCCTTGCTAGGAACCTACTGGAAAGCTCAGCTTGGGGCCTGTGGGGCGGGCAGGGAGTGAAGGGTCTCCAGCGGAAGTTCCAGTACAGCCTGTCCCCTCCTGTGGGCAGCTCTCCAGGGTCCTGAACAGGACCCTGACAAGGCAGGTGCCAGCAGAGGAAGGGAGAGCCCCCACGTTTCCTTGTGCCACAGAGTCCACGGCTGGACTCAGGGGCTGTGCTGTGGCCAGCGACCTCTCCCTTGTTTTTGAAAGACTCTGAGGTCATTTACAGGGTCAGTGAGGAGTCCAGCTCCAGGCCAAAACCCTATGTGTGAACTTTCAGCCTCTGGACCCCAGGCAATGACAAGGCTTCACCTGAGGCCTCGCAAGACAGCGGCCTCCGGCCTCCCTACACCAGACGTGGCTCACGGCAGAGCATTGCAAGCTCCGAAGGGACTGCAGGCAGGGACCCAGGCCCCTCACACCCATCCCACCTGGCGGGCCATGTCATCGCAGTCTGCATTCCTAGCCTAGGCACCTGCCTTCCAAGGCCTCCTCGTGGGGGCCCCAGGCTGAGGCCTCTCCAAAGCCCCTCTGCTGACACCCCTTCTCTGGGGCCCTGCAGACACTCTCCGCCTCTGCCTCAGTACTCAGGACCTTCCATGCCCTGCCCTTCTCCCTCATCCTCTCCCCGGGTCAGTCAGCAGGAGCCATCTGCCCAGGGCTCTCAGCAGTGAGACAGCCCGTCTGTGCTGCTGCCTGGATGGAGCCTGGGGGAGCCAGCACCCCGTCCTGTCAGCCTTATGCTATCGCAGTGATGGAATAAAGGCTTGATTGCTGCTTCCAGGTTGGCTCCTTGTCTTAACCGACCACCTCAACACTGGCAGCTCAGCTCCTGACAGGCAGACCTTATCTGCCCTCATTCTCTCCCTGTAAAGTGAGGGCGACAGCTGAAGCCCCCTGCGGTCAGGGAAGAGGGGAGAAGGTGACAGCGTGAATGCTCAGTACCACCAGTGCCCCGCCACCTTGCTCACTGGTGAATGGGTGAGAGCCACAAGAACTCAGCCAGACCAAGAGAGCTTGGGCCGGCGCGGATGACAGGTTATTAGTTTTAAAATGCAGTGACATTCCATTCAACCCGGACAGTGACAAAGGAGAGAAACTCAGTGCAGTCACTGCTGCGGGGTAGGACTGTCAATCCCAGACAGTCGGGGCCACGGAAGTCAGGGAAGGCTGGCATCGCACACTCGCCTGGAGCCGGTCCTGTCTCCGCTGCATCCTGTCCCGGAGCTGGGGGTGGGGGTGGGGGGGAAGCCCAGCAAAGTGCCACAGACCCCGCTGCTCTCACGGAGATTCACTAGTTGTTCTTGAGTAAATGCTTTTCACTTTTAATGCCTTTGGGTAATTTCTAGAGTTCTGAAATGTTGTGCTTCTTATATGTGGGATTCTTCTGGTGGTTTCCTCGCATCTGGGGAGATTTACCCAGGTCCTCTGTCTGCCATGCTGCACATCCTGCCTCTTTCACTTTGGGAATTTATGTCCTGGCAATAGCTGAAGTCTTGTTTGTAACAGCAAGAGACTGGAAACCACCTGAAAATCCACCAACAGGCAGCGGTTTGGGGGCTACAGTGGCCCCCCACTCTGTGGGTGCAATATGGACCAAGGCAGGTCTCAAGTGCTGACAAATCCAATATGTCCTGTGTGGAAAAGACATGGAACGGGGTGCATATGCACTCACAGTCATCTGTATCTGCATAAACCCCGGGGACACACAAGAAATGAGCTTCAGGGGTTGCCTGTTTCAGGGGGCAGATGGAAACCAGGGAGTTGAGAGAGAGATGTGGGCAGAGACTTTTCATATATATTCTTAAGCTTTTCTTTCAAATTTTTAACCATGTGTGTTAAAATTAGAAAATTAAATCACTTAAGTAAATTTCAATTTACAACAATTATAAACTACAAGGGAAATAAGGTAATTCCCTTTCCCTGTGAACGTCTCAGCAGTGTCCTTGGGGTCAGGAGGAAAGGAGACGTAACTGTGCAGCATTCCAGTGATTCAGGGAAGGGGATGGAGAGACCACAGTGCCTGAAATCTGGGAGAGGGGTGCCAGGCAGCCTCAGGGGAGGAGCTTGAACACCCATCATGAGTCAAGAGGACTCATCAACCAACATCCCACGTGAGCCCGGAGGACTCATCACGACCAACACCCCGCATGAGCCGGGAGGACCCATCATAACCATCTCCCCTTTGCTGCTAGAGGCTGAAGTGTTTTTTCCACTCTAGACCTCTCAGGCGTGAAGCTGAGGGATACAGAGGTTGCTGTCCACAGACTTTCATGATGTGGCCACTGACTGGAAGATGGAACTATGGCAAAGTGCTTCACAAACATAAGAACATGACAAGTGATTGATTTGATTTCAGGTCCTTTGTTATTTCATGGCCCCTATATTTAAGACCCAGAAGGAAGAGTTTCAATATGGTTAAGCTGCTCACATTATTGGCTGTTACCATTCATCATCATTCCCATTTCTCCAAAGATTTTGCTGGGGATTACTTATTTCTCCCTCTCTCCCTCTGGCCACACCCAGCAGGCACATTCCCTGCACCCCAGTGGCACAATCGCATTTGCTGTGGCATGATGAGAGGAGGCACCGCTGACCTCCATCCCACAGTAGCGTGTCATTGGGGGGAGACACAGGCTGCGAGTGAAACACATCCGGTGTCTCATGAAAATACAAATCAGAAGCAGGCCTGCCCCTTGCTCCAGTCCCTCATCCTCATTTGTGCCTGGCTGCAGACCAGGCAAGGCCCCGGGCTGAGGCCACATGTCACGGTCACGGGGACATCGAGTATTTTGTCACCTAGGCACCTCTGCTTACAACAGCCGAGAAGCTACTTACGACACGTGTCAAAGGAGTAACTCATGGGCCGCATTTCAGCAAAAAATGGGGTGTGGGGTGCAGATACACACTCAAGGTCATGGCGACCTCTGGTGGGGGCGGTGACTGCACTGGGCTTCTAGAGTTCGAACCATGCCATTTGTTGACCTGGTCAGAGCCATGCGGGCATTTATTTGTGAAAACTCGCTGGGACGTACACCATTTCACAGTGACAGGGTTACACACGCACACATACGTGTGCAGGGACACCGCAGCGTGCACATGCACCTGTCTCTACGTCTGTGTCCCCTGTGTCTGTATCTACGTAGCTGTGTCTGTAACTGTAACTGTATCTACGTCCGTATCTGGGTCTATGAATCCACAGCTGGTCTGTATCTATGTATCTGTGTCCACATACCTGCATCTACATCGACACAGCCGCCTTGGCTTCTCCTCAGATGAGAGGAGAATTTTAAATCTCTAAGAGACTCTTTCTCTCCCCCGACCTGGAGGCCCTCTCCCCGGTGGGTCTGGCACAGAACAAGCCCGCTTTGGGGGGCTCAGGCTAAGGTGACACTGCCACCCACAGGGTCCCTGCTCTTGGGGGTCCAGACTCTGGCTTCTATAAAACCCGTTGGTCCCGTGGCGTGTTTGCATTTAGCCTTCCTGGAGTCACCCAAGGAACGGCACCCACTTCCCTTCATAATTGGGGAGGACCATCTGTGAAGGGACAGTCAGTGGGGTATATTTGGCGGTGAGGCGACAGGGCGGGCTGTGACTGGACGGGGCTCGGTTCTGTCCTTTTCTCCCCAGCACTTGGCCCAGCAGGCCCCACAGTACCCCTTCACTGTCCCCAAATTCCTGCCCCTGCAGGACGCACCTCACCAGGACACACAGAAACCACACGTCCCGACACAAACATGCACCTTTCTAGAGTGTTTTACTTTAAAATTTGCAAGCGACATGTGGGCATTTTCAAATGTCTGGCCCATTGACGCATATACGCCCAGACCCAAGCCCTGTCCAGGGAACCACCACTCCATGTGCACCGTCCAGACACTCCTTTTCCACGTATGTGCCCCCATACAGAGCTTTTGACACGTTACACAAATGGGGTCAGGCCATGCTCGTTATTCTGAAACCTGCTTTCTTCATTTGGAAATCAGGCAGAGGTCCTCTGGGAGAACAGGGGCACGACTCGATGGCGCAACCATGGGTCCCCTGAGGAGATAAAAGGCCTAAGATCCCCCGCCCTGCCAGGCCAGCATGAGGCCTGACTAGGTCAGAGAGGCATGGGGTCAGCAGGACCCCACCACTGTGGCCCCTAGCCCTGGGTCCCCACGCTTTTTCTGTCAAGGGCCAGGTCGTAAATATTTTGGGCTTTGTGGGTCATACAGTCTCTACTGCATCGACCTAACTGGCTGCTGCAGCATGAAAGCCGCCACGGACAGCTCGTGAATAGATGGCTGTGCCGGGGGCCAACAAAACTCGATTGACAAAAGGAGGCAGGGGACACACGGGGCCATAGGCAGCTGGCCCTGCACTTGATTGTGAAATCACTGAATCCCCTTCAGCCCACATCTTCCTCCCCACCGCCCAGTGCTCTCAATGCCCCCCAAGAGCACCTCAGACCTCAAGCCGGCTCCACGCTGGCGTCACCCAGGAGCTTTGAAAGGCCCTGGGGCCCAGGTCCAATAAAACCAAACCCTC